CCGTCTTGTTTTCTATAAATAGCTACCAGTCATGGAGGATAGAGTGGAGTTTTACCATATCTGGTCAGAAGCATCCTTGGATGAGGGGAAACCACTTTGCGTTAGTAGATGGAGGGCTAAGGCAAAAAAGGAAAATTCTTTAATTTTTTTTAAGTAGGAAATATTGGATTTCGTCCAAATCGAGTCTGAAGCATCCTTGAATGATAGGGAATCACATTTGTAATAACTGAAGGTCTTCTTGTGACAAGAAGAACTTATTTTCCCCTTTATGGAGGGCGTCAAATTAACACAGGATATATTGTGTTAGGAAAAAAAATATGGTTAGGATAGTCAGTATGAACATATATGTTGACTCCATCCCTGAAAGATGACACTCAATAGAGGGGAAACCTTAATTGAAGTCATACAGGTAAGTGAGATTTAAAGATAGTTTGTTTAGCTTTAAAGTAAAAGCATTCCATCTTGTTTAAATCTATAATCATCAGTCAGCAGTTAAATGTATGATAATAAAGATGCGGATCACACTCATTGGACGGAAGATCGGGGAAATTAAGATAGGATAGATTGATAAAACTTGTTGGATTGAAAGGTCCTATGTCTTCGTCTCAGCAAACTAACGAGCATCAAACATGCCCAGCTTTATATTGCACAAAGAAATATAATATTCAATAATAATCAATGCAAAAACCATGACGACCTTAGAACGTCCCCAATTGTTATTTAATCAGCATCTTTTGAAATATTCGACAGGAAATTGTCGTTTCTTCCACATGTAAAATACCTTAAAGCCAAATGCTTTAAGTCACTGAATATTCGCAAGGTGGTGTTCCCCACTGGTTACGGAGCTGAAAGACAAATTTTGCTAAGACTTTTTATTAGATCAAAATTAGACTACAGTTCCATTGTGAATGGATCTGTTCGACCTTCATATCTCAAATTATCAGACACTGTTCATAACCAAGGTGTGAGGCTCACTCTCGGAGCTTTTAAGACCACACCTATAGCAAGCCTCTATGTGGAGGCTAACGGACCATCACTATATAGCCGTCGAAATAAACTGGCTTTGCAATACATCATTTAACTAAAGTCAAATCCTTTAAATCCTGCTTTTTATACTTGTATTTGATCCAAAATATAAAACCTTGTTTCAAAACAAACCAAATACCATTCCATCATTCGGTATTCGAATTTCCGCTCTTTTTACAAAACACAGCTATTAATATTGACCAAATTCAGTCATTTGGAACGATAAAAAATCCACCCTGGATCATGAATTCACCTGAAGTTGACTTTTCACTCCATGATATGGTTAAATCTGACACAGACAGTTACACCTTTCGTTTATCGGTCTTGAAATTGCAGTTAAAATATAAAACATTTCTACTTTTATATACTGATGGTTGAAAAGAAAATGATAAGGCTGCCGCGGCAATGCTTACACAAGATGAAACCTATGGATGCCAGCTACCGAACAACGCCTAAATATTCTCGGCTGAAGCGCGAGCTATTTACCTCACCCCTGAATGTATTCAAAGAAACAAAGTAATGAAAGCTGTTATCCATTCAGACTCTCTTTCTGTTTTACAAAGGTCTTAGCAATAGAAATATCGAAAGTATTTTCATTCTTAATACATTAATACTATATCATGGACTTGCTTCTAACTTTCGTATCGCTTTTTGCTGGGTTCCTGGGCACATGGGAATACCAGGTAATGAAAAAGCAGATCGTACCGCAAAGGAAGCTTTATCGCTACCACCTGTTATTTTTAAACTTCATTTTACCGATTTTAAACCTTTTATCAAACAAATTTTAACATATCAGTGGCAGAAGGAATGGAATACATCTACCAATAACAAATTGCACTCCGTAAAACCTTTTATCGGTGAATGGTGTCCATGCTATAGAGACAACCATCGAGACGAAGTTGTCCTTGCCCGTCTTCGGATGAGTCATACATACCTTACACATTCCCATATGTTGAAATGCGAAGATAATCCTCGGATGTGGTGAGGCATTCACCATTAAACATTTTTATTGGGTTGCATTTACCTTCTGTTTACTCGAGAGTGTTTTATTGTAACATTACAACATTACTAAAAACCATTTTTGAAGAGATTTGTAAAATTCTACATTACCTGAAAGATGTTGGTCTATATAATAGACTATGACGTACCATTTTAATCTTCTGTGTTAATATACCCATTTTAGATTTTTAGCATTTGTCTTTTACCTTTTGGTTTGTTTAATGATATTTCCTTTTGGATCGCTGTGTGTTTTACCAGTTGATGGCCCTAATGACCTTCTATGTGTTGATAGGCCGTTAAGAATGCAATAATAATAATAATAATTGTTTTTCATCATTGATTGATTTTCTGATCTGTCACGGGCACAACTTGCAAGGATTTAGACGTCAATCCTACCAAAGTTTGTTTTTGTGCCTTTCTTAGAAATTCAAACTTGACATTACCGTCGTTAGTTATTGTTGTTAACTAAGTTCACTACTTCTACAACTATGTCTTCGCTGATATCCATTGATGCTGTTGTGTCCGCTGCTTTATATGTACTACTGTTTCTCTTTCTTGTGAATTTACTCCAGATGACGACCCCACTTTCGACCTGTTAGGATTGAGGAACGCGTTATCTGTGGATCTATGATCCACCTGGTTGTAAAACACTCAAATACAGACAAAGACATGAAACAAATCAAAACATTTATTTACAAGCAAAAATAACAATTATTATAATGTAAATGATCTATATAAGTGGCCTTTATGATTCATTCTTTATTACAGGTAATTTGGTTCTGAAGGTTGATTAAACTGCTGCCAAATGTGACCAGTTTGATTCGGCACTACTGTCGCAAGTTGATCCACTCTAAAGGTATCCTTTTCAAAGCCACATCATCCGTAAGCAGTTTACTCCCTAGCTGTAGCTACGACGTGATATTCAAACAAGACAAACAAGTAAAAAGCACCTTTTGATAAAAAATGGAGTTAGATACAGTAAACTAGGACTTGTTAGGGGAATAAAGAAACGCATTATCCGAATCGTATTGGATTGCAGACAATTTATTTCTTTCCTTAAGATCGAAATACTGAGTCGAAATATCGCCGTAGTGAGGACAAGTGCGTCATATTACATAGAACTCTGGAAACATATGTATAAAACTGATGGTTGAACAGTACTTGCAAGCATCATTCATTGTAAGGCAGGCTTAATTAGAAAAGATATCGATAATTCACTGCGCTAGCAAGATTGATTGACCAAGTGTTAATGGTGTCTCTGGTGACAGTCACGTAAGGAACAGGGTATAGACTGTGTTATAAATCTAGGCATTGGCTGTGGAGATAAAGTTCTGAAACTGCAACACGATAGAGAAGACACAGAAATGAAAGTAAATCTTTGAAAAAACCCATCTTTTTCATGATTTTAAATTAAAATAGCAACCTGCGTGCCAAGTTAAAACGGTGTAGTGACAGGTTAATTTTAAGGTCCCTTGTACTTCTAAATGTGAAAGTTTTTATTTGACGAAGTCTTTTTCTAACGAGGCAATGAACAAATTTCTACTGCTCATTTGCAATCTTATTTCTTCTTTTCGTTTCCTTGTGGTTTCTCATTTGGTGTCTTACAAAGCATTAATGTCCCATATAGACATGCATAATGAACGCTAATATGATACTTGACACGTACATAGTCAATGTGGATTTCTTCAAATGTAATGTGCAATACCTAATAAATTTTCATACCCATGAATACATTTGATAGGGTTTGAAATAATTAAAATAGATTAATTGTATTTTTTATTTTAAATGTTTAGATCATGACAAATTAAATTCGTTTATTGAATGGAATCAATATACTTGCAATAAATTGCACTCTGTAAAGATGTCATCGGTAAATGGTATCCATGATATAGAGGCAATCATCGAGACGAAATTGTCATTGCCCGTCATCGCATGGGTCAAACATACGTTACGCATTCATATATGTTTTTTACTGCATTAACCTTCTGTCTACTCGAGAAATTTTCTATCGTAATATTACAACTCTAACGTTCTTTCTGAAACTGTTGAGATTATAAAAATTCTAGGTTATCTGAATTATGGACTATGACTTACAATTCTAATATTTTGTGATAATATAACCATTTAGAATTTTTAGCATTTGTCTTTTACGTTTTAGTTTGTTTGATGTTATTTCCTTTTTGGATCGCTGTGCGTTTTACCGATTGATGGCCCCAATGACCTTTTATGTATTGACGGGCCGTTAGGAATGAAATTATAATAATAATGATAATGTTTATCACATGTTCATAAACTGATTATCACACACGATATCATGTTAATCACCAAATACTAACAGCGCTGCAGCTCTTTACGTTCTATACTAACTAAAACAAAACAAAGGAACCATGCTGTAACTTTGGTTCAGCAACGATCATAAATTGAGGCGTGTTTACAAATTGAGAATATACTCTGCGTATATATCAATATTAACACAGGATATCCTTGCGAGTTATGTTGACTCTAGATATATAGATAAAGTTTTCTCTCTGATATATTTATGAAAGTTGTGGAAATTTTAGAGTATAATATATAGCTTAAGTATAGTCGATAGATCGACGGCTCCATTACTAAAAAATCACACGCATCCCCCCTCCCCTCTCCCACCCCCCCCCCCCCAACCCCCACGAAAAAAAATATAACAGAATACACAGGTTCAATAATATTGTATCGAATTTTGCCATCATAAAAGAACTTTGCAGTGTTTTTTTTAACCTGTGTCCACTGTTCTAATCAGGATCTTTTTTGTCAATTCAACACAGCACAATCATAATCGACAACCTAGGTTTGGTATGCCTCGTTTTCACCATCATAAGATTATTTTGAATGAACATAATTCTTGTAAAATTTTACACTCTTAGAAAATGTATCGCTTTACATATTTGTTCCATATTCACAGCAACATTGTTAATCATATCAATGGTATACAATTCGATCTATTCCACAACAACAATAGGCAAAGCCGATTGCATGTTAAACATGTATCCAGGACTGGTTATTCTAATGGACCTCTCCAGCCAGAACGTCAGCATTTTCCCTTTGCCCTGGAATGAATAAAGAAAACATCAGACGTCGGGTGGGATACAGCATAACGCTATACTGGCGATACGTACAAGGGCTATGCTGATAAATACAGTTTATCTGCAATCAGAATACAATTTTGTAAGTGTTTGGTTTAAAACGTTCAACGTCCTACTTACAACTATGGCCATTTTAGGACTACTCAAGTCTCCAAAGTCAATGCATTTAATTAGTATGTGTTTTAAAAAGCTGCGACATGTTTGTGATAGCATTGTGTTCGTATGTAAATGAAAAGCAAGACCATTAAGAAGCTAGTATGAAAGAGCAGGAAGGATGCCTCAAATTTACAAAATTCTGGGATGAACTTACCTTGATCTCTATCATTCCTCGTCGCTGAGTTTGGAAACCATCATATTTCTTTAAAGCAGTCGCTGTCGCCTCAGAAATTTGTATTTTTTGAGCTGTAGAGAAAATGTAAGAATCATAAAGGAACTTCAATCATACATTCAGTTTAGGGAATTTGTAACTTAAACATCATCTAGTGTGTTTATTTAGGCACGTTTCGACTATAATGTTATGCTAAACACAAAACAATATTTATTGTATATAATGGACCCTCTGCTGCTGTGAGCGCGTAAAACCCCTTAACATACCGATGACTGGTAAAATCTGTTGCCATTTGTTGGCGCTATTTTTCACAGCGCAATGCTTTGTTTGGTCTAATTGTATTTGTACTTAGATCCAATTCTTTTGGTGTAATGTAGTAGCACCACGTTTTGATAGAATATATTTCTAACTTTGTTGAATTCTGGTCCATGGTTTTATGATGGAATTATATATATTGATATATCGTCTGTTATATCATATCAGAAAAGTGCTACACAAGAACAAAAGAATAAGGTCTGCTGCATTCCACTGCATGATCAAAGCAAACAAATTAAAGTGAGTCCCGAAAGACCTGAGATTTTCTTCCATGTCTTCTTCTATGGGGACATTGAAGAGAACAATATATATTTGCTGCCACGGTGTTAACCATTGGTTTTTCTGTTTTTCCATTCTTTCATGTCTGCATTTTGTTTTCGTGAGTCATTGCCTACTCCTGTGTTCATGGCTGTTGCGAGGACGTTAAACCAGTCAAATCAGTATCTTACTTTATCACTATATTAACATACACCAAAATGAACCAACTTTCCTGTTTTATCGACTTTTCTGTGTTTGTCTGATGTATGGTCGACTCGAGTATGGCGTTGATGTTGTTTTTGAAAAGTTATTTTTAATTTACTTACGTTGTCCTGTTGATTCCATTCTTGCTGCTACGTTTACTGTGTCACCAAACAAACAATATCTTGGCATCTTTATTCCAACTATACCGGAAACAACTGGTCCTGATAGAAGTCAATAAAACTGCGTTAAATGAAAATAGTCTTAAAAATCGATATTCATATCTATACTAGGGCGTAGTAACACAGGGATTCAAAGAATGCAGGTTAATGACAATTATAGGGAAGTTTTACGGTCGTCAAAGTGATTTCATTGAGAAACATACTATTTCTCTTCGCGAAATGGGCGTGTTTGATGTTCGTAGGTGATTCTAAATTTGACATTTCTCGAAATGACACTGGACCATGTGTTAATTAGATTAGTCTTTATATCCCATACTTTCACACCTCGGCGAGTGATGTGCCTCAGACAATACAAATTACCTGTATACGTGACACATTGTAAGACTTCTTGATATTTTTAATTACATTTTAAGATCAGGTAAGGTACCAACGATCATTTGGTTAGACTTGAAACTTTTGTGCGTGAGGCTTGAGGAGCACTTGGTTGCTGTTTTCTTCGATTTGGAAAAGGCTTACGATACAACGTGGAAATACGGCATAATGAGATATCTGCACGATATAGGTAGTAAAGGTAACCTACCAATTTTTATTTCAAATTTTCAATTAGATAGAGTATTTCAGGTCCGGAATGGAACGACCCCGATGTTCATCAGCAGGTGTAAAACAATTCTTCGGTTGCACTTTTTGGACTTAAAATTAACAGTATTGTCAAAACATTAACGCCTTCAATGGAGGGCGCTCTCTATGTCGATGACTTCATTATATGCTTTCAATCTAAACATATGAATACCATCGAAAGACAACTGCAATAATGTTTGAATCAACTACTAATTCAGGCAGATGAAAATAGATTTAAATTTTCACAATCAAAAACATTTTGTATGTATTTTTGTCAAATTCGGAAACAACACGACGACCCAAATCTGTCCCTTCTGTGGTGAATTCTCTTTTGAATATTTTACCGGTTTTTTTCGGTTGATAGCCCTAATGACTTTTTATGTGTTGATGGGCCTATAGGAATGTCATAATAATAATTATACATTTTTATATGAGTTTATTTAAGTGCTAGCCTGTACCTGATACATCGTCAAATGTCTAACCTATAGCTTAATTAAGATGTATGCTGCATTTTAAGAAAATAAACCCTAGTCCACATTTATCTATAAGTTATTTCTACATATGTATCAATGAAAATAGAACCGCATATCTGCGCGATAGAACCGCACAACGTGAGCACAGATGTATGATAACTAATTTCGTCCAGTTGCACGTATCGTTCAGACATCGTGTACATATCATGTAATATGCAATACCACATCTGTGACTTGATGCAACTGGATAATTTCAAATACCAGCATAATTGTTTTGAAATAAGTCCTCCGTTAATAGATGTACTAGTTAAGTGAGATACATCTACAAGGAGAGTAGAAATGAGGAATTAAACAAACAGCAGAACACTCGTGGTTCACCGAGCACTATCTCTCAATCATCACTTTAATAAATACTTGCCCAGTACGTTAGGTTAGCGATTACGAAGCGCACTGAATGTGAAAATCTTGTATCACAAATAGGCTATACCAGTATATAGCATATTCCATTTAACGTTAAATGTTTAATATTAGGGATAATAAACGGCCAGTCTTTAACTCCACACGTATTCGCGAATCGAAACCTTTCATATCGCCAGTTCGAACTCTACCATAATATCACGGATGATTTTTACACGATCGCCAATAGCTCAAAAGATTCTGCTATGTAACAAGAGATCTGAGAATGATCTTGGCGATCACTCTTGTTTGATCTTATCTTTGTTCTTTCAAAGTTGGATTTTTTTCTTCTTTTCTGGTTTTTTCCCCTATAAATCTATGAAATTTCTAAATATCACTACGAAACAATTGATCGCTTCGTTTTAGATTTTTTTATGATAGCATTAACAACGACATAGCTTACCTGTATTTATGCCAATTCTGACCTGAAGGCCGATATTTTCCCTAGAGAGATGAGGAACCTCTACCTCAGAACAGGCATCGAGAATAGCCAGTGCCATCAACGATATTTCCTTCGCGTGACGGTCTCCATTAAGTTCCGGTATTCCAGACACGACCATGTACGCATCACCTTAGCAAAAATTGCAAAATCCTATCAGTTATGATAAATGATCATTATATAGCTACTTACACCGATGTATTATTCTCCGGAAAAGATATTTAGATGAACATTTACAAACGACACACAATTAAACAGCACATTTCAATACAAATTAAGGTCATACAGTAGAGCGACATTATTAATTGAAACAGCTGTATGATGAAGTTTACTATTGTTTGGCTGTACTGTATCTCACTCTTATTTATGAAATGGTTCTTTTAACTTGAATGTATTTTGTACAATCTTGACCTGCATTATACAGCCTTTTGGCCCTCTAGCACTCGTTAGTGAAGCATAGGTACTATATTTGGATACCTTGGAAGCGACAGAGGGAAAAATGATAGAAATAAATTTCGCAATTCTCATATATCTGATAATGTCAGTACGAACGTCAAGTACATATGCTAATGTAGGAAATGTCACATATCTAGGTGGGAAGATGTACGAATTGTAAGTCAATAAAATTAGTAATTTTCATAAGAAGTACTATGAAACACAATGAGAAAATGCAGTGTACAAACATAATTATAATCCAAACTTAAATTCCATAAAACTATGACAAAATATGACAAACAGGAAATATTTACACAGGAAACTCCTCAAAACGTACAATGAGATTAAGACAAGATATTCCGGAAAAGTAAGCGTCCTCGTTATTGATGACACCCGTTCGAAAGAGTGTAAACAACATATTTGATCCCTACTTTACTTACAAAACGAGGTTATAAAAATATTTTTATTTTGCTTTTGTTTTTTTGTTTTGTTTTTTGTTTGTTTGTTTTTTTTTTTTTGCGGTCGGACATCAATAAAGTTAAATCAGGTCAGATAGCAATAGTAATGAAATCTACTCCAGATGTTTTTAAATCAGCATGTGCAAACCATAGGAATCGTGATAATTCTCACAACAATCAACACATCAAAATAAATGATTTAAAAGATTTGTATATGAACATCGTACCTAGTAATTGAAATTAAACACGTGCAAACAGATGTACTCAGCACATGATGTCAGCATATGAAAAACAATCGCGTACCAAGGTTCTTAAGACACGAATCTAAACGACCTGAACTTGTTTTCAGCTGATATGTTGCTTATGTTTGTGCGGGAAGTTTTACTCCTCTGTAACATAAACTATATGTTTAGACCCTGACATTAACATATCGAATTACCGAACCTTTTGTTAAGATATTAATCCATAAATATGACAATATCATATTCAAGATGTTATTTGTAATGCTATACCAGATGTGTATTCTGAGATCGAACAGTTGCATAAATATAGATATTTCGTATAATTGAATCAAGAAACAAGAGCTCCCAGAGAGAATTCGGTGCCCAACATCTTTTTTTGTTTTTACAAAGCTGGATGATATTGTATTTCCGCTCCAATATGCTGTTAATTATATGAAAGTTGATGATTCATCCAGCGTTATCATATTTTCTTTACTTAGTGGTCTCAATTAATTACAAGGTATGAGCATGTACACATCCACCCTGGCGAAGCTTGCAAAATCGCATCAGTCTTACATAAAGGTCATTTTGTTTATTCATTTTCCGTCCCAGTAAAAGAACCTATTTCAATATTGTAAAGTGATAAATTTTTATCCAAGGAAGCAAATTAATCTTCACTAATTAAGCGAAAAATTGTAAATACTTCATCACTTTTTATCATTACACAGCTTCATGATTCCGTAAAATGCGATTTCTGTTCTAATTTCTAACATATGATTATCAGCATTAAATATAAGATAGCCAAACATTCGAAAATTGTAAAAATTCCAAATGAATTAAATTAGAAGTCTTTGAAAAATTTCGTAATATTCAATATTGCCATTTTGATTTCATTGCTGTAGACAATAACGTCACTCAAGTGCTTTCAGAACTTTGAAATTCCTTAATATTAGTTTTTAGCCAAAAGAAATAGATTGTTGAAGCTATATCTTCCCGCTTAATTGTAATGATAAGATTTATAAGATATATATGTCATAGTATTTGTTTTGTTGACATGTCAGAAAGCACGTGTCAAAAAAAAAAAAAAAAAGAAAAAAATATGTCCAAAATTACAGAGTGATAATGTCTGATCTAGAACCATTCTCAAACAAACTGCTGTTAATAAAGAACACGTACTGATAATATTCCATTTCAAGTACCGTTTTTTATCCAGAACGTTGCTAAACACCATGTTCTCATTTGAGAACATGATAATACTTACTTTGACTGACAAAGATTGACATAGTGGGTGTCGTCGATGAAACATGAGATGTTTACTCTTCCTGAACACATGGTCCTATTGTTCTTTTCAGGCGTCTCCGTGTAAATATTGTTTTTATCTTCCCTAGTTTAATTGAATTTTAATTTGGATTGTGACTCTGTTGTCATGTTTATATCAAATTTCATAATTTTTGTATTGAACAGCCAAGCAACGATAAAAGGATTTAATAAATTGTCGTTATATTAACTATAGGTCTCCATAATCTAATGACTGTTACGGACATAGACCTCTCTTTCACGTCTTATCAACAGCCATGGTCATTTAAACACGGCTTCTCCTTGTGTTCAAAGTGATTGCTTGTGGTTGTTAAAATATTATCATTATTACAGTCTTAACAGCCCGTTAACACATAAAAGGTCATTATGGCTTTTAACCCGTAAAACACACAGCGATCCAAAAAGAAAACAACATCACACAAACTAAAAGGTAAAATACAAATGCTAAAAATCTTACGTGTGGTCATATTATCACAAAAGATTCAAATGGTAGGCCATAGAGGCTACGATATGTTCAAGTAAGCTGCCATGTGATTGTGCAAAATGGAATCAAGCTACCAGGGTATCGAGGCCCCCAGCAAGACATCCGACCCGGTTATATACAAGTGAACGCTGAACAGCTCATTAATTTACCATAATGCTGGACGTTAAACAGTGAGTAGGAACTTCCATTTTGATAACACTTTGGTGAGGTGTGCTTCTGGAGGGTGAGGAAGAGGGAAGGAGTGGTTGATGGGGATTCAGTATTTTAGTTATGTTACTCCTATATAGTCATACAAATATCTTGTTCATGCGCACAACCACTACATTACAGGAATACCCGGGCTTTAAACCACCACGGATCATTATCAGAGACTGCCAAAATTGCGGACCCTTGTAAATTGCACCTTATTATATTGTGAAAGCTAATTTAAAAGCGGTAATATTGGAGCTCTTCCTCGAAACAACCTATGAAAACAACAAGAAAATATCAATATAATCATAATCAGAGCTCAATTTCAACAAAACTAAAACATATAAACAAACGAAAGAGTAATAGGGAGACTCCTGAAAAAAGTCTAAGGATAATAAGAACAGATGTTCCGGAGCCGGAAGTGCGAGCGTCTTCTGCGTCGTCGACTACCCCCACCATGTAAATTTTGGCCAATGCAAGTAATTATCACGTTCTCTAATGAGAATAAAATCCAACGGAAGTAACAGGCAAATTAATGAACGTCAAACCCTCCTGTTTTCTTATCGCAGAAGGAAATATGATTTTTCTCAATGAGATCACTATGGTGACCATAAAACTTCCCCATAATTTTCATTAAATTTCCTCTATTGAAACCCTGTGTTACGAGTTTGTCCGTCAGTTTACGACTTCTTGAACGAAAATCGTGATTATCAAATCGACTGATAATATTACAATGACACCGGAATGTAAATCGTTGCAAGTAATGTGCGATCATGTAACAATAAAGGTATATTTGTTTATGTGAACTTTCACCGAAGCCAATGAGTCGACAACATCTCAAAGCAAATAACACTGAAAATAAATCATGTGTTGTTTTTGTTATTCCATCTTGATGTTGCAAAGCGATGGCCATTTGTCACTGGTACCATCAGTCAATAAAAAGCATTTATAGCCACAGATATAACCATAAACAAGGTGTAAATTGTGCTACTGTCGCTATAAGCATGGTTTCTAGCTTAGGCGATGTATATTTTATGTCGCAAGGAAATATGACCGGTTCGCCTTTCAGCCTAATACCAATGTATTAATATAACATCCATAAAAGAACAAAAAAATCAATGTCGTACCAATCAGAAATATATACCTATTAATCGGCTCGGGGGATGGGTCAAAAGAAACGTTTTAAATCGTGCAAACTGTCTTGAATCCTCTTTTGTAAATGAATTGTATATCATTTAGGCTGATTAATTTTGGATCATTTAAATTTAATACCCTTACTTGTCAGGTTCGCAAAAGGCAAGCCAATTGTGTTCATGGCCTGACCTAATTAGAAATAATAGGAATTAGCGGGAAATCAAATCACCACGAAGGTTTTGATATAGTCACCCAACCCATCCCTTTATTGTATTCTAAAAGTCCTCGAGGTTTGCCGTTACATGCACGTGTTAATTAATTAAAATACTGGCACTGCTCAGAATATATTTATACATTTGACGTTCATCTAAATTCATAACTTTGAGTTAATGGTATTTTCAATTTATTTGAATGTAAGGAAAGATCACTTTCAGTCTAGTTTTTGACTTTTTACGATTCCTTAAGATTTTTCTAAGTCGCTTCATAGGATTAAAAAATTTAGTACTTTATCATTTATCTACGCATCCTTCAAATGGTGGGAAGTTAAATAAACAATGCTTACATGATATTACATATATCATATACCTTGAAATAGTTCTCACGGCCATATGCTTTTGTGAAAGTCGTTGTGAATGTCAAAATCGGCAATTTATTTGCTAACATAGACAAACCAATTAATACTTGTGTGACAAATGAACATGAGGGTGTACTCTGTCGCCAATGAATCTTGGTTGTTGCGAGGACGTACATTGTTAGTAAAAACATCGGATGTTATAAACAATATACATGCAATCCGTACAAAAGCAATAACACCACAGAAAATAACTATTATATCGTGCGTTTATAAGACAAATTAGCAGTATATCATGTTTACCTATGGTCTCAACTTTGTAGACATCATATTCCTCTAATTTAGAATCAAATGTGTTGTATAGCATATTCAGGAAGTCGACAACCTCCAGGGGAGTGCAGCCGGAACAAATCGTCGTGAAACCAACGATGTCTGAGAAGAATACAGTCGCACATTTGTACATTCGTGGTTCAACCTTTTCATTTGCCATCAACTTCTTTGCTACAGTAGTAGGAAGCATTTCACACAAAAGAGCCTCGCTTCTCTTCCTCTCCTTCCTAAGAAGTGCTGTTTGGGCCTAAATGGGAACAAATAGATATGTTGCTTTGGTTATATCGTGTTGTTGTTCCTCAATTAAATTTCATTTATGATAGAAGAACAATAATACTCACAGCATTTCAATTACGTTTCCTGGAATGTATTTAAACTTACACTCAGGGATATAGCAACCAGCTGAATCTTGTTTGTGAGTTTGAAGACCACGACAAGGATAAGTGGGTAGAGAATGACTGCTCCCACCATAAGCCCAATACTTATGTAATAATCCTTGTAGTTGCTTTCCAATTCTGTCTTCAGTGCTGAAAGAATCTTCTACGGACAGAAGAAATGTAAACAAAACAAATAAAAACTACATGTACACAGTATTTGAGATTTATATGTCAGATATAACTTGATATAAAATCTGATACATATGTTAATAGCTGATCCTCTCAGCGTCCTATATGATCTAATCAATTTTATCCCAACCATGGAAAACAAACAAAACAAATAAAATACGATAAAAATACTGCCAGGCCAACATTGTCTTAATTCAATCCTGAATTAGTGAAACTAAGGCAAAACATTACCACCCTTACCGCTCCAAATGATAAAAAATTAAGAGAAACAAAAATGGAGATGTTCATGGACGACATCCACCATGTACATATTGAGCCATTAAGGTAGATGATGTCATATTGCAAACTGTAATTGATAAACATCAAAGGAACCCCTAGGTATACAAATAAGCATCACACATGTCCAATACCATAATACGAAATAGAATACTTACTAATGAGCTAGAATTAACTCATGAATAGATATGTTGAATGAATTAACAACATTGACAGATTCGGATGCTGTAGTTTCTTTGTCATTGACTTATTGTGGTAAGTAGCATGACCATGAGATATTAATATTGTTTAAAGTGTATAAACTGAGTATATTGTGGTAAGTAGCATGACCATGAGATATTAATATTGTTTAAAGTGTATAAACTGAGTATATTGTGGTAAGTAGCATGACCATGAGATATTAATATTGTTTAAAGTGTATAAACTGAGTATAGTGTGGTAAGAAGCATAACCATTTATTATTCACAACCTAACTAAATTATGGTAAGTAGCATGACTATGATATTATTGTTTAAGTGTATAACAATAACATGGGCGGAGATTGTGCCTTAACACAGCATTTTTGTTGTTGTCGTTTTGTGACTTACTGTTGCCATGGTGTCCTGAACATCCTTCAGGATGTTGATATATGAAGTCATGTTGGCAAACCAGTTCAAAGACGAATGGTTCGATATGTCATTGTCAATAATATGTTGTCTCATTTCTGTTATACGTATGTGTAATTCACTGCCAGTAAACCGGTCTTTAATCATTGACGACACAAGTGAAGAGTAGGTCATGGACAATGCTGTGTAAGTAGATGCACTAAATTTCTTCTCCACGTATACCACCAGCTCGTCATTGGAAAAATTCCCTGCAAGAAAAAAAAATGTTTATCGTTTTCAAATTCAAATAAACTCTTAGGTAATTAATGTCTATTACTTTTTATCAAATTAAGACTGTCATTGCGACTATATGTTTTTGTGAGGAGAATTCTACTAATATTGTAATATCTGTGGAGGGGACACGAAATAATCAGTCTTCATGGCCAATTTTGTGGATCCAAGAAACGTTAAGCATTCGACATTTTTATAAAAATAAGATTTAGAACTACCTACCTTTTTCAAAGAAAGAGCTCCCAATTGCTCTCTCTACACCCGTCTCGTCCTTAGCTAACAAAAGCATGTGGTATGCAATCATTGATCTCGAAAGCTGTCCAGTCAATGCAAGATTTACAACCCCAGCGATCCACTCAATGATAACAGCATTTAGTTCAGAATACAACTCAATAACCCGAAACAAGGTAACATTGTTATTCATGACTAACTCGCGGAATTTCAGTATTCGTTTCGAGTAGGCGAGTTTTGACTTAAAATAAGTTGAAATATCATTATTGGACGGCCATACTGGAACTTCTTCTATAGCTTTATCTGTTAACACATATACTGATAAAAGCATATCGTATACCACAGAGTCTCCATTCGAACTTAAGTAAGTAACACTAACACCACGTTCTATTTGGAGTCTATGGATAATGCTTCCCACTTCGAGGCTGGTATGGATCCCGTTCTGTATAGCGCTTTTCACAGCATAATCAGGGGTGTTTTCAATAACGCCAACCAACGTTATACCACTCAGAATAAGGATAGGAACAAGAGTCAGCAAAAGAATTTTTACCATTTGACACCGACGACCATTCTCAGACAAAATGTTGATGTCTTCTTGGGAGCAACAACCACTTGAAACTGTAGCATAGCCATTTTCCGTTTCTTGTAATCTTGAAAACGATGATATGTTTGTTCCATGGTCCGTTATCACCATGGCTGAAGACTTTGTCATAGAAGTCATATTTCCTTCAAGTCCCATTGATCGGAATCACAGAAGCTCTTCTATACTAAACAAAAAAAGAAAGGTAACACTACTTTACTCTGTGATTAATTAATAAAAACCTTCATAAAACCTTACCAATCATGTACGAATAAAGTAATTGATCAATTCTGATAAAAGTGCAGTCATGGTTCATTATAAAACTTTGCGTTCAGTTGATTTTATTCGACTGTAAATGACGTGCGGGTCAATTTCAAAAGTAACACCATTAGTAACGGGTATGGCCACCGTTTGCGAAGTAAACAGCATTGCAGCGTCGACGCATGGAACTCGTAAACCGGCGGATAATTCGAGGAGAGATGTTGTTCCATTCAGCGATCAAGGCTTGGGCCAGTTTGACGGCTGATTTTGACGTTCTCCCACGCGTCGCCCAAGAACGTCCCAGACATGCGCAATTGGTGACAAATCAGGTGATTTAGATTGCCAATCTAACACCTGTACGTTATTCTGTTGCAAGAAAGTTCTGCTGACGCGAATAGTGTGCGCTGGTGCGTTATCCTGTTGAAAAATGGCGCCAACGCCATGGCGTCTTAAGAATGGCACTGGTCTTAAAATTTCGTCCCGATATCGAATGCCGGTTAAATTGCCATTTAACCAATAAGCCTGGTACGAGCCCCCCACAAATACCACCCCAAACCATTACACTTCCGCCGCCAAAGCGGTCCCGTTCTGCGACGCAGCAGTTCGCAAAACGCTCCCTTGTCGCCTCCACACTCTACGCCTTCCGTCACCGTGTTGCAGACAAAACCTGGACTCATCTGAAAACAGAACATTGTTCAATTGTCGTAAGGCCCAACGACGGTGAACACGGGTCCAGTTACGCCGATTATTACGGTGACGTCGCAACAAATTGGGTCCAGTGTAGGGACGCCGCGTTTTCAATTGGTAGGCCCTCAACCTGTTGCGGACTGTTTGGGGAGACACATGACGCCCAAACAATGTCCTTGTAGTCTCTACTGCGGTTACGAATCGATTGCGCAAGTGTATCAATTGTATACGACGGTGATCCCTGGCGGTCGTTTTACGGGGTCGGCCGCTTCGGGGACGATCGGATGTTAACCCAGTTTGGTTTAAACGACTTACCAACTGGCAAATTGTCTTAACATTGCAACCAAAATGCCGTGCAACTCGACGGCGAGACTCCCCAGCCTAGATCATGCCTACAGCCCTTTCTCTCTGTACTTGTGACAGCCGGGGCATAATGATAAAGTTGATAGATAGCAAGATTCGGTGATTTCTAAGTCCTAAGGATCTAAGGAACAGTTGTCAGTTTGAATGTTTATGAAATTCAAGCGATGATACAAGTTAGTCGCCCCTTGGATTTTGTAATGTAAAACATTACCATTTTCTAATATTGCATAACCGTCATTTTGTTTTCACTCATTTACAGGTATTCACCAAGGAAACATCTTAACCTTTCTTTTTTTGTTGAGTATATCTACAAAAAATATAGAATGAAAATGTGATTCTTTTTATATAAGTCATAGCAATCCGTAGAGAAAATAAAAAATCGTGAGAACGTAGTAAGTGTTGATTAAGTCACTCCAACAAAGTAGAGTGACTGCTGTACCGCTTCTTACTTATTATTAGTCAGAAGTCATGGAGGGGACTTATTTGTAACGCTCGATTTCTTCATTATTATCATTATTACAAGTTAACCAAGTTATAAGTGTTATGTATTATGATGTGTAAAATGCCACCGTATCTACGACATGCTAATACATTTTTTTAGAAGTCCCAATATTGGGGTTCCTTGACGAATGAGTGGGCGCAGTAAACATGTTACAAAAATAAATGGAAAAAAACAAATCTGGTTGCTAGGAATCTATTGTTTACGTTATTTACATATTCACATGTTTTGTACTAAAACATGTCAGAGGGAAAATGTGTTCAAGCTGAACTTTAAACCTTAGTCGTAGTCGGTCACACTATCCAGGCTATTTACAGCTCGCCTAATATATCTAAATTATGCCTCCGTTCGGCGGTTCTACGAATGAAAAATACCCCTGATTCACAAACATTTGTTGCCGATTCACTATATTGTGGATGGACACGGCCCTCTTTTGTATGTATGATTTTGGCCATGAGACCGGTATCAGATATATAGCCACCATTTCCTGGCTTACAATTTGGTATCTAAATACACATTTTCCATGAAATTTGTATGTAGAGTAATCATGGGATACCAGTCACGTTTTTTTACCACAGTTTCACGTTTCATCTACAATCAATTTAAGGAGAGCCAGGTGGTGGTCGGGACCTGTTGGGGGCGACTTTCGCTATGGTTCATAATTACAATTATGATTATTGTTTCCGCGGCTGATCTCACAATCTACACAGTGGATTCTCGTGAAACTTTGCATACCGGATAAGTATGATTTCTAGTTGTGCACCTTACTTTTTTCCTCGGTTCGAACTTCCAAGATTGAGCCACGGAATGGGGAGTAGCTTCAGCTGTTGCAATTTTAGTTATCATTCTTATTTTTTCTTCTTTTTGACCGATGCTAATCTTAGAAACAGAGTGGATTATTATCAATTTGCATGCTGGATCATAATGATAATTCATGCGCCTTTTTTCATGTCTTAGTTCCAAGATCGCCTCCGTGGGGCAGGCTGTAGAGGTGATGAATTACGCTATGACTCGCAATTGCAAATCTACCTATATGTAACTGTTGTTCATGTATGAAAGAGCTAGATAGATGTCAAAAGGTTGTCAAATTAAGCGTATTTGGCCCTAAGAGTCACGATGATGCTGCTTCGTATGTTGCCGTGCGTCGTCCGTAAACGTTTCCTTTAAAACAATAATCCTGCTTAATACCTTGTGGATACTAAATGGATTCGGTCTGAAAGTTCTTTGGGATAGAGAGTTATTTATTACATTGAGAAAGTTTATTCGGCCTACAGGGACTTAGTTGTGGATTTCCAAAAGAGGGAGTTAATTTGCTTCCGAACGCTTTTCTTCATTTATGCTTGAATTGACTGAATGGTTGAATGGATTTCATTCAGAATTGATCTGGGACATTAATAGGGAGTGGTAAACGATATTAAACGTGTATGTAGTGATTCTTAGATTGTCCTCACCAGATCGTGATACCAGTTTGTGCTACATCTTGTCAATGTTATGTATGATATCCAAATTATTTAATAGATATCCCCATAACTTCAGCAATACCCCCACTTCTTCAGAGATATCCTAACTACTTTAGAGATATCCTCGCTTCTTCAGCGATATCACCACTATTTCAGAGATATCACCACTATTTCAGAGATATCCCCACTACGTCAAATACATCATCAATACAATACTTCAGAGATATCCCCACTACGTCAAATATATCATCAATACAATACTTCAGAGATATCCCAATTACGTCAAATATATCATCAATACAATACTTCAGAGATATCCCCACTACGTCAAATATATCATCAATACAATACTTCAGAGATATCCCAATTACGTCAAATATATCATCAATACAATACTTCAGAGATATCCCCACTACGTCAAATATATCATCAATACAATACTTCAGAGATATCCCCACTACGTCAAATATATCATCAATACAATACTTCAGAGATATCCCCACTACGTCAAATATATCATCAATACAATACTTCAGAGATATCCCCACTACGTCAAATATATCATCAATACAATACTTCAGAGATATCCCCACTACGTTGAAGAATGTTACTAGTTTTCTGATATCCTTCATGTAATCCATTTTATTCGCAACTAGGTAGATAGATAATCCTGCATCATCTAAATGAAAATGATATCGATATTGTAGAGTTGAACGACGTTAATTAAACACATTGTCTAATGCTGTCAGTCAAAGTAATCAGGGCAGTGTCCGATATACCTATACCTTACTGAATGGAGTGAAATGAGCGGAAAACTAATCGCAATCGATTACAAGAGTGTAGTATATGATCATCGTCCAGTGTTATCTACGACAATAGATATTTTCGGAATGAAAAATCAGCCACTGATAAGAAGTATGATGAATAATATTTGTGTTTACTACGGCGATAAATAGTTTTAATACGGAAAAACCAGTCTCTGATGAAACATAATCAATGACTATAAATCAGCGTGTATTCTTAAGTAGAGCCATTACATCGAGATTAAACAACATACCAGGAAGTCAAACTGAAGCACTTCATAAGGTATTTATAGCCTGTTTTTTTTACACATTTCGATAAATTTAGCCTTTTATCAAAACAAACAAGTCGGTCAATAGAGGGACAGAAGTTAAACCGTATAAAGAAAATCGACAGATTTACTGTCTTGGCTATCAGTAATTACCAAGAGACCCATGGAATTAGTAGTAGTATTGAAAAAACTGTTATTAAAAAAATCAAATATTACTCACATTTTAGAAGTTAAGGTAACAAAAAAAAACCCCACTAAAAATCAGTTTCTCCATATTCCAACATCATTCCAGCTCCATGGCACCAGTACTTTTCTTTAATCAGTCTCTCAACATCAAACGGATACATCTACACGCGACAAAGGAAAACCTATATATGAATGCGGGAAAGATTAATTAAGTACTTTAAGAAATAGCGATAACAGACATCCAAGATGGCTGCTTGCCAGTATTTTGTTTTCAGGAATTTTCAGGAAGAAGTTTAACGAGTATATATGGGCACAACTTTGAAACCTCGCTAAAGTATGTAAAGGCTATGGAGACCGAGATATAAACCGAGACATACAAATGAGAACACCAAGGAAGACATCGTCGTAATATGTCCAAAAGTAAGGACTCTTGTCCGTTGTTGACATATTTTCTAATTTAAATTTTAATCCAAGGCATGAACAAACTGAAAAAACGTGCCCAAACAGTCTTCTTTTCTAGAAATGATGAGCGGTATAAGACAAAACGATAAACAAAAACGGTCCTTCATCTATGTTTACAATTTCATTGATTCCAACACCAGGGAATCGTTTG